ATTCTATATACAAATCTCCTTACTTTCTTAATTTTGGTTACTGAGTTTATGTTTGTTCTATTTTCTTTGTTCAGGAAGCAATGTTGGTGAAGCTGAAAGCATTGCATTTTATGAACGCGCCCTCTTTCATGGATAGGCTACTGATGATCATCAAGCCGTTTATGAAGAAGTCGCTCATTGACATGCTCGTCATCCATCAGGTTAGATTTAGCAAATAAAAAATAAACATTCTTGAATGAAGACCACGAGCTGGAACATTAAGTGTAAGACGGTTCAAATTACGTGGACTAATAACCGTGGGGATGTTGGGGGGAGGGGAATGCACGTGGTCCAGAATCATACTTTGTAGTGTACAACAATAACTAAAAACAAGAAATCCAATTATTTAAGATTGTACTTAATCGTTAGCAGCACAGCTCCTTGTGAAAGAGTTCGTCCAGGGAAGTACTGCCAGCTTACCTACTTCTGCCGCCAAGCAGTAATGTCAGCACAACTGTGTTCCGGTTTTGAAGGGTAAGGGTGCTGGTGAAATTACACGCACATGGGACTTTTCAACTTATGTCTCAGGGTGACGGGCACAGTGGCAGTGCCCCTGTTACGGTCATGGACAGGCGTGTAGCATACCACCAGGCGCACGACTTGTTCGTCCTGTCACTTGATATAATAAAAAAAATGTAATTTGCATTATCAATTTTAGATTGGTTCGAAGACGATTGAAAAATATTTGTCGATGGATGGTCTTCCCAAAGAATGCGGAGGAAAATTCAAGAGCTTGAATGAAGCCAGAGGTGAGGAGTCTGCAAATACACATTAATAAACACACTGTATGTATTCAGTACTGGATAAATTGAAGCTATGCAAATGTTTTGTTTTCAGACGACTTGATAGAGCGTTTCAAATTAAATGCTAACTATTTCATAGAAGAAAACAAAAGACGGGTGGTTGAATCGAAGAGACCCGGCAAGCCGAAGACCATCTCCGACATCTTCGGCAGTGTTGAGGGCACGTTTAAGAAACTTGAAATTGATTGAGAGCAAATGTAATAGCATAAAGAAAGGATAATGGGAAGGAGTAACTAAAGTTTATCAATGAGTTACGTATTTAGTTTAGTGTAAAATTCTGCCTGGTTTACAAGGACACACGGAAAGAAAAACAGATACAAAACATCAAATTAAAGATATTTACGTAACAAATAGTGTGCTGCAGCACACCCAATAGATTTACCTAAAAGCAAACTCTAAACAGATTTATACAGTGTGATATTTAACTGGGACAGTATGGGAAAAGCCGAAACCATAGGAGATACAGGGTCATAGTTAATCTTTTGGTCAAGCGTGAGTTGTCCATGTCAAAATGAATAATATTAATAACATTTTTTTAACGCTGATAGACTTAGGTTCTTGTATCGGAAGAAAATCGGCACAAGAGAAGTTGGTTAAATTCAAAAAGAAAAAATGTTTTTTCATACAAGAGGAAAATGTTATTTTAGTAGGTAGTAAAATTTTATGGCCCCTATGGTTTCGGGTTTCCCGTACTGGACGGAAACTGTGTCATTTAAAAAACAAGTGTTTTCATTATAGTGAAAATTGTGGGCTGAGATTACGCGCACGTACATCACGTATACATACTAAACCTCTACAAGACGTTGCTGTTATTGAAAAAAAAAAACGAAAATTCGTTCGTAGGTAAACCGTAAATTTTTTTAGCAGTGTTAACGTTAGACCCATTATTTTTTATCACTAAATTGACGATTTAGTTAATGTTTTACGCATGTGGTGTTTTTTTGTATTCATTCATTAATTCACGCATTGTGTTTTAGGGTGGCGGCAAGCAAAAAGATTTTCATTTGTGTATAGGTGTACCAGAACCTGAAGGCATTAAATATTAGAAAAATCGAACGACTTAAATTGTCGCATGTCAGTTCTAAATATGACTTTATTCCGATGCTGTAAAATTATTGTTAAAAAAATATGTTACTTCTGTCAAATGGCTGTTTGCTAAACTTTTTTTACTTTAAGATTTTGTAGCAATAATTACTAAAAATCCGCTTCAATCTCAAGCAAAAAACATTGTAATAATGTTTATCACAAATTAAGCGACGACTTAGGTGCATCTAAGTCACAATTCACGACTTAAAACCGGATCTCAAATCTTGCCGATTAGTAGGATTAAATAAACTTGATCTTTGAAATTTTAACGAAGCCAAATCAATGTGTGGTATGTAAATTTTGTTAGTACCTACTGGTCTGTAAGACTAATGGCGTTGGGAAAAAAAGACAAATGGTGTTTGTTTAATTTTAAAATGTACCAGAAATTACTTACCTTTCTTACTCACAAATTTAAAACAGGTACGAGGAATCAATTCTGGTCAAATACAATATATGAATGAAGTATCTAGTCTAGTTCTTTTTTTCTACTATAATGATGTTACCCACAACAAATTTCAATTTGTCTAAGTGCCATCAGATTCTGCTACACCTATACTCTGAAATCAAAACTACTAAACTGTAGGACAGTGTGTATAAATATGTTTTGTTATTTTATTTTTAAGCTGTAAAATGCTTTCTAATGAATGACCGTTTTAACTTGTAGGAAATATTTTCTGAATTAATGAATAAAATATTTTTATTGCACTTTAAAACTTACAATGACAACACATAACAGTTATGTGGATATAACAATATAAGTTAATATACAAATAGGCCTTATTACAATGTTATTATCAAAACAAGGTTTTGATTGTCTATGATATTGACGGTTATGTTGTACAGCGATAATATTTTAAGTTATTTGTGACAATAAAAATGATTATTTGTATACAGTTAGTCACATTTAAAGATATACGTGTTAATAAAAAAACATAACTAAATTATGTGTTAAAACCTTGACCTGTGGCTGACTGTGCCTAAATAATCGAATTGAATTGCTCCTGCGTTTTTTTAAATATTATTCCTAACTTTAAGAGGACTGCTTCAAGACAGCGTAGTCGGGTTATAGTATCTATTTGGTACACCAGATGTCCTGATGAGTACCAAATAGCTATTGTTGCAACTAATTTGTAAATAATTGACGAAGAATGATCAATCAATCAAAGGTACTGTAATTTCTAGTGATGACAAACAAATCAACTAGATGGCGTTATAGTACAGATTTTTATGGATACTGCCAGCTATTTATTTTGTTTAGGATTAGTGCCAAGCATCGAGTAAGTAGTCAACACAATTAAAGTAGACGTCAAGGTGCGGCTGTGGCGTATGTAAAACATTCCACTCAACTAATGTCACCGCGGAGAAAAGGCTGTGACGCTGTTGTTAAGAAGTTCTACCGCTACCAAAAGTCGTAATGGAAAACGGGGAAAGTGCCCACATTGATTTGGCGATGATGATAAAGTTAATAAAAAATGAACTGGGCAATTTTCAAGTTTTATTAAATAACATTCATATATATTGTAGGAGTGGCGGAAATTAAGGGTCGTATTCCAGAACTGTACTCAATGCTCAAGTCAGGATTTGAGCAGACTTGAGTATGATTTCAAGCACTGGAAATACGACCCTAATGGCAAGGACTTGAGTATGATTTTCAGTGCTCACTGCAATACTCAAGTTCTGACTTGAGTATTAATAAATAATGCTCAAGTCAGGATTTGAGTGTGGTTTAAAGCACTCGAAATCATACTCAAGTCCCTGCCATTAGGGTCGTATTTCCAGTACAATCCTGACTTGAGCATTGAGTAGAGTTCTAGAATATGACCCTAAGAGTCGGACGGGCAGCGTAACGGCTTTTATTTAAATAAGCGCAGACAGTGAAAAATATTCCTATACTAAAGACAAAGCACCTCTAATATAGACAATCAAATCAACGCTTTCTCTTAAACTAAACAGTGTTACAATTTTACAATTATAGTTGTTACTATTATCTTTACAATTATTCGTTACAACATTATTATATTTACTATATTCATCGATCAATATTTATTATTAACAATCATAAATAACGAAACCTAGTCGTCACCTATATTATTTATAGAGCAACGCCATCTAGTGGCAGGGTGATGTATTTAATTACACTGTTTAACGGCCTGCAATAGTTGTAGGGACGGTGTCGGTAGATGGGGCCGCTAACATATATCTGTAGTAGACTTCGTCTATTAATTAGTCTAAATAGATTTGCACAGTTCAACTAAAACCAGGGTCAACGGGGTATAAAAATAACTTTCATGAATTGGCCTTTGTATGGGCCACTCTATTCCGTACATGGATTGTAATGGTAGTACGCAGAGAAAGACAATGGTAAAAGTATATTAAAGCCTTGTTGCTGTTATTTTTTTGCTAAGTCAGATCATTAAGTTTTATTTGTATACCTTCTTTTAAATATTTAGTCAACACGTACTCTGTGTAGAAATTTTATGATACCTTGTATTTCTCGTTAAGTGAATATGTATGTTCTTTGAGAAATAAATGTCTTAAACCATAAACCATATATATTGTACGTAAAAATACAGATACTATGGTGGCAAATCTTTCCTTGATATCGTGTATAGGTGGACAGTTGGTAACGTACTACGTGAAAACAGAGTGTGAATTGCATGTTTAAATAAAAGTCCGGAACGTGGCTAAAGTAGATCACCGCGTGCGCAGAGTTATGCCGAAAAATGTACGAAACCATACAGCCTTGTTTTAAAATTATATTAAATCGAGAACCGGTTTAATACATAATCGATTTTTTTAAATACAAACTAAAACCAAAGATGTGTTTAACTATAATTATGATTTTACATAGCCATATTAATATAACTTGTTGGAAATACTTATTTTGCACATTTACTATAAAATGTAAAAAAAACCTACTCTACTAAACTAGTTTTATGTATCAGAGATTAACACAAGGTCATGGTTAATGGGTACTGTCGCTGCGTACAACGGCATGACGCTTTGTGATGAGTATCGCTTTGCTATGTGCGACTTGTCTTTTTCGCATAGTCTAAGTTTATAATCTCATGGAATTCTCCGGTGACCAAAAGATTAGCTGTCGAAAAGCTATAGAAAAATTTAGTATTTTTCTTCCCTCACTTTTTTCATTTAGCACATTATGTATATTATATACTTAATGCATTCAAAATGAAAATATTGAAGTTCTTTCTAATATTAATTGTAGCAAATAGTCGAGCGAAAATAACTCTACCTTAGTGCTAAATTTTTTTTTGTTGTCGATTGTGTTATTCATAACAAATACTTAATTGAAACTTACAAACAGTACAGAGTACTAAAAAACCGACCCTAAATGTCATTCATCCCCTACTTTGCCACCCTTAGCGGTGGAATATTTTCTTCAAATTTAAATGGGACCATTTCTCTTTCCAACAAAAAAGAATCATCAAAGTCGGTTCACAAATTATCGTTTATCGTTATCGTATCGAGTTATCGCGTAACATACATACAAAAAAAAAGAAAAAATCATACAGTCGAATCGAACCTCTTCCTTTTTTTGAAGTCGGTTAAAAATGAAACTATTTGGTGCTTTTCACAGGTCCTAGTGTCATGGGTGACTGAATCGAAACACTTGATATTTTTACAGACGTTTTTAGTGAATCCGTTTAAAGAAGTGTTGGGAAATTCAGTGTTATCGTACTAATATTATGTATAAGTTTAAAGCAAAATAGAGCACCCTGTGAAAAATTTCGTCCAGGGAAGTACGGCCAGCTTACCTATTTCTGCGGCCTAGCAGTTATGTGAGCATTACGTGAGCTAGCAGTTAGGTGAAAGAAACTACAGGCACATGGGAGTTGTCGACAATGTCGTAATGTGATGGGTGGAGTGGCACTGACCCTTAGATCTGTGCAATTAAAGCGTCGAGTGACACTGCGAAGGTAAACGGAAATGTATAGTGCTTCTATTTACGCAAGGTTCGTCAGCAAACTTCGTGTTGCTGCTGTCGACGGGTTTTATCCAGTTGCCCGCTGCCGATGATAGAGTTGCTATTATATTTTTTTATTTATTATCCCATGGGAAGAAAGCCGCTAAAGTCACAGGCATGACAGAAAAATTAGCGCGTACTTGTATTTTTTACAAGAAGCCGATACGTTCAAGAAACACAACAATGGTTATTTTCAAAAAGTCCAAAAATGTGTTTCTGTAGCTTGTGGTGTTTCAATCTGAACAGTGAAGAATATTATCAAAAAGATAAGTCAGTTTCTTTTCATTTCCTTTACTTTATAGATAGATAGATAGATATATTTATTTGCAAGCATACACGGTAAGTAGATTACAATTATTACATTATATGTACAAATACAAAAGTTCAGCGTGTTGCGCCAGCAATTGGCATGCAAATATTATTGACTTTACATATCAAATTACATTAGAAAAAAAAAAAAAATTAATCATATATTTTTGTTAATTGCTCATTGACATGGAGTAAATGTTATTAAAAACAGGTAAATAGTTTTACAGCTCTGTATAGTTAAATTTAAAAAAAACAATAAAGTACGTTGTTCAAAATTCAAATTATCATCGATTTTAAATCTAATAATTAATGGGCGTGGAAATTAATATTCGTGTGCATTCGGAAATCTGATAATTGCCGAGGGTCATTGAGAAAATAGAAGCGCTGCACATATTTTTCTCCAGTAGTAGTTGATAAACTTGAGAATTATTTGATCTAAAGTATAGTAATACTTGTACATTAAGTTATCATCTTGACTGTGGCGTTTGGAAAACCAAATCGGGTCTTCTAGTCACATACCACAAAGTCTGAAAAAGGTTTTCAATCAGTGCGTTCTACCCGTTATGACATACGGAGAAACATGGACATTTACTACACGGCTAGTTCACCAGTCAAATGTCACTTAGCGAGCTGTGGAGTGTCTCTAAGATTTGAAATGAGGTTATCCGACAGAGAATCACGTTCGTCGACATAGCTGTTGGAATAAGTAAGCTGAAGTACTGATGGGAGAACTGAGTTCTTGAGTGGATACCACGGCTTAGCAAACGCAGTATAGGACGCCCTGTGGCCAGATGTATGTACGTGCATCTGCTGGCAGCAGATGCACGCGAAAAGCTGAAAACCGGGCGAAATGGCATACATTAGGAGAGGCTTACGTCCAATAAAAGATATTGACTGGTTAATGAAGTGTGAAACGCACTGAGAGCGGGTGTGGGTCGGGCGAGTGTCGGGTCGGGAGCGCGGTGGGTCTAATTCCGTGCGTCCGTCCCGCGCCCGCGCTCGGTGTGTTGTCATCCATATAAATACAAGGAATTAGACCCACCGCGCTCCCGACCCGAACCACGGCCCGACCCGCACCCGCTCTATGCATGTTTCACGCGTAATTTAGCATAAATTAAATGTTAAATTGCCAACCAATTCATATTTAATATCCGAACAGAACCGAACCGATTTTTTTCATAGCACCAAGTGACGTCACGAACAAGTCGTGGATCTGGTAGTAAGCTACACGCCTATCCATGACAGTTGCAGAGCCACTCGGAGCTTTAAATTGCAAAGATCTTAGGGGCACCGCCGCTGAGCCCGTCACCCTGAGACATAGTTGACAAGTCCCATGTGCCTGTAACCACCAGCATTTTTACCCTTCCAAATCCGAACGCAGTAATGTTCACATTACTGCTTGGAGGCAGGTGGCACTACTTCCCTGGACGAATTCTTTCACAAGGAGATCTACTGCTACTAAATGATTTAATAAAAAATCTTAAATAATATGAAATTAGCAACCAGTTCTAATATTAAATATGAATCCTGAAGAAAACAAAGATTTACTTTGTGGGACACGTAGGTATGATATCCACATTTTTTACTTATTAGGAACATATTGTCAAATAAAAGCAGTTTCCGGGTTTTATAGTCAACACACTCTTATATTGAACAGAAGGAATTACTCGGTGCGTTAACACTTTATACATCGACAGTTATAGATATACTAGTTAGACAAACTGTTGTGGAACAGGTTAGAAGCATCGCAGTCGTGTATACAATTGATCTTTAAACGCGCGTGTGTTGTGTTGTGTTATTTCAAAGTGAGAAATTTGTTTTTATTACCCAAACAAGTAATTTACAATTTTAAATAGATAGGTATGTATTTAAAATGGAATGAATTTTTAGTTTTTAACCGACTTCTAAAAAAGGTAGTAGTTCTCAATTCAACTGTATGTGTTTCTTATGTATGTATGTCACGCGATAACTCAGGCATTTGTGAACAGATTTTGATGATTCTTTTTTGTTGGAAAAAGGGTACCTCACTAGTGGTCCCATTGACTTACAATTATATGGACGTCGGGTCCGCGCTAAAAAGTGTCTGAACTTATAGGGCGTTAAATTCGTATACAGAGCGTCATTCACGCTTTAGTCTTCGTTTGCTCGACTGACAGCGAAGCAAGCAAAATTAGACAGTACTGCGATGACATTACAATTTAAATTCAACGTTTTAGCTTTTTCATATTCCTTTACATGTCACTACGTTTAAATAGGTTGACTTGGGACATTTTTTTCGTGGTTTTTGTATTAGACCCGTCGTCCATTTATTTGTAAGTCAATGAGTGGTCCCCTTTAAATTTGAAGAAAATATTCTACCTCTAACGGTGGCAAACTAGTGGACGAATCACTTTTGAGGTCGGTTTTTTAATAGTCTGTACTATTGTATATGTAAATACTTGTATTATATTACAATGGAACTATTTCACGCGACTAGTTATTCGTATTTTTTTTTCTTACGATGTCAATTATTGACATGATTTCCTTATCCCTTATTACATATTCATCATTCCTTTATCATCATAAATCGACGTACCTCAATGATACAATTATAGATAAAACGAAAACACGAATAGCTCATCATGATTGGGTACTTATAGACAGATACACATTCATTAAATGTCATGTGCGATCTGATTTCTATCGGGTCGCTTATTAATGCATAGTGATGTTTGATCTAATAAACAAACTAGAGGTAACTCTTGTCTAGACCACATACACGTGACACCGGGGCACTATACTGTTGGGGTTGTATGTCGAGCAGATATCACTGATCACTATTTAGCTATAACAGGTACTTCCATCGAAAGACTAAAAACAGAAAATAAAAAGCGACAGGTGAATAGGGTTGACTACGATTCCATCGACAGAGAGTTAAGCCATGTGGATTGGGATGTGGTTCTGGACAAAAAATCAGTAGATGATGCAGTTTCGGCTTTTATGGATATTTTTTCGACTCTCATAGCTCGCAAAATTACTCAGATCCCTGAAAATTGATCTAAATTCACAATAAAGCCATGGATGACTCCATGTGCTCCAAACATAGAGATAACCTACATGCAAAGGTTCGTAATAATTCTAATGATAAGGTTCTCCTAAAGATCTACACTCGCTACAAAAATTTCCATAACGACTTATTAAGAAAACTCAAGAGGCAACACGAGTCACAAGTATTAGAACAAAACAAAGACAATCCCAGAAAACTTTGGGACTCCATCAGAACCTTTTCTCATACCAAAAAGCTTAAACAAGAACCAGTCGAATTAACAAAAACCAAAGAAAGCACCTTAAATTTAGTGAACTATTGCAATGAGTTCTTTACAGACGTAGGAAAATCTCTGGCGGACACAATTTTGACCTTTGCGAATGAGTCACAGGAGTCACTGGTAGCCAAGGTCAAACTCAAAGTATCACCTCCGGATTCCCTTTTCATGTGCCCTACTGATATAGCCGAGATCAAGACAATAATTGATGGTATGAAACTTAATAACGCTCCAGGCGAGCACGGTATCAATAATCGTCTTATAAAAGCAACTAAAAGTAATCTTCTTGTGCCACTCACTTATATCTGCAACTTGAGCCTTACTGAAGGAGTGTTCCCATCTCCGTGGAAATCTGCGACTGTCATCCCCATTTTCAAAAAGGCAACAAATTCAACCCCTGCAACTATAGGGCAATTTCTCTGTTGAGTTGTTTTTCTAAAATATTGGAAAAATTGGTCAACAAGCGTCTTACTAATTTGTTGGAGGGAAGGAAGCTAATTTCTGATAGACAGTTCGGTTTCAGAAGCGGGAGATCCTGTCAGGATGCAGTTTTTAAATATCGGAGCATCTTGACAACAAAAAGGCCTGCATCGGTGTAATTTTCGACTTGGCAAAAGCCTTCGATACCGTATCCATCCCTATCCTTGTTCGTAAACTGGAGTCGTTTGGTGTCCGTGGTATTATGCTCGACTGGTTTCAGAGCTATCTGACGGGACGTTCTCAGTACATAAAAATCATGGATCAAACAAGCAATCTTGGGTTTATCGAGTTTGGGGTGCCCCAAGGCAGCTTGCTGGGTCCCACGCTTTTCACTGTTTACATAAACGACATTATTCACTCAGTCCTGGACCATGTAGACATCATTTGCTATGCAGATGACACTGCCATCATCTTCAGTGATCCGAGCGGGAAACATGATCGGGTTTAAGGCGGTATGTTGCAGGTGGCTGTCTAGCTTGGGAGCAATCTCCTAACTCTCAACTTGACTAAAACTAGATTTCTATGCTTCCATAAGACTTGTACATCTGCACCTACATTCTCTCCTGACATTTCGGTTCGCTCTTGTATTTGACGGATAAGGTCCGTGCAAGCGTCAAAGCATTAGCAGGGCTGGTAACATAAAATATCTTGGAGTAGTTGTTGACGAGAGGCTCACTTTTGGGGAGCACCTGATTACCACTGCCAAAAGAGTAGAAAATTGATATACCTCTTTAAGAATCTCCGAATGGCGGCAGTGGCGCTGGGAAAACCAATATGTTGATACTGGAAAGGGCTCAACCATCCGTATTAAAAATATTGTTGAAAAAACCTAACAAATACCCAAGAGTAACTCTGTATGAGGAAAGTGGAGTCCTTTCGGTTCGAGGTCTTTTCTTGCTCCGGGTCATGGTGTGTACCCACAGAGCTGTAATTTCTTCTGCTGGTTATGGAGAGTCTCTTGAAAAAAGACGTTATAGACTGCCGTTTCAATCTATAAAATGGTATTTATCTTAGAAGATTTGCTAGATTTATGCATCCTTACATCTACAATAAAGTAAACTCATTATGTTGCATCAAGTTCTGCTCTATCCCCGAGCTTAATCACTAGGTCAGTTTCCTAGACGCGTTGGACTATAATGACATGGAGTACATTTTAAAAAGGGTATCCTAGTGCTGCTTGTTAGTGTACCTGTGTTGTTCGTTACTAATGCGATTTTGCGATGCTCTGCCTCCAGTCGCGGGCCCTGACCGGCAGACAGTTCACAAACTCGTATTCACTCATCCACACATTTACACACACATACACTCACACTCACTCACACACACACACACACACACACACACACACACACACACACACACAC